GGATGCATGATAATCTGGATTTTCCAGCTGTGAACAGGTTCCAGAGGGGCTGGGAAGGGCGTTGCAGGTTTAAGTAGCTGCCACCATGCAGGGGCTGAGGAGCAGAGAAACTGCTGGTGGCACCTCGAGAGCACAGGGGAAGCCTGGGACTGTTGAAACATGACACTGGGTTTCCCTGCCCACACAAACCTGCCAGGGTCTGCTTGTAGAAAAATCCCAAGAAAGATTTTTGAGGCTGGTTTTTTTTCACTTCAACAGAAGCTGGCCTGGAACAAATGTTGCTACAGACACGTGGATAATGTTCCTCACCACAACCGTTACCCACTTTTTTCTGTTGTGTTTCAGCTTGATTTAAAGTGAGGAGATGCAAAACGTCCTCTGAATGGCCCCTTTCTGATGTGCAAATCCAGCTTGCAAAATTTAACTTCGGGGAAAAAAAAACCAAACCAAAAATCCAGCCACCCCCCAAAAAGAGCTACTCACACGTGGGTGTGAAAGAGCCCCAAGCAGTTTCTGCAGCACAGAATTTGCCTGTGTCACTTCCCCATCCTGCCCAGCCCAACGGCCCCTGCGGGGGCACCCAGGGGATTCAGCTGCCCCCTCCCTCCTCTGCCACCCACCCCCGGGGTGCTGCAGCAGGAGGGGGTTTGCACCCATGGGTGCTTTCCCTGCCAGGGCTGGTTTGGGTATGGCTCGGCTGGGCAGAGGTGCCAACGAGCAAGATTTAATTAGTTGGTTAATTTGAACAGCAGGGGATGTATCGCAACACGGCACAAGGTGTGGTGACATGGCTCAGCTCCAACCCAGAGGCCTTTTCTCACTTTCTCCTTTCCAGCTGCCACGGGTGACTCTGCAGGTGCACAGTTCTGCAGGTGCACGTTTAGCGATTCATTAATAAGTTCGTTAACACCGGGCTGATGGCTCTGCTGCCCTTTTGCCCTCCTGGAGGGGACCAGAGGAGTGGGACGCAGTTCCACAGTGCTGGAAATTCATTTCCAAAGCCTCTGGTGCCATCAGCCACGCTGCAGCCAGCCAAGGCTTTAATCTACCTTCGGATGGCCCCAGTGGGATCGGAGCTGTGGGATGGTTGGATGTTGTAATGCTGGGGTGGTGGAGGAGGGATGGGGCAGAGCTCTGCCTGCCCTGCTGAGTTCTGCCAGCTGCCTGTCCCATCCTGTCCTTCTGAGCCCAGCACGGGTCCCTCAGCCCCATCCATCCTGTTCTGCAGGGCTTTGGGGTCAGGGAAGGAGATGATAGCTTTGGGGGCAGGTTAGGTGACTATGGATTTCCCATGTGAGGGCACCAGGGCCATGGGGAAGGGGTGCCTGGATTGCTGCAGGCCACCCCCACGTGCCACCTGCAGTTCGGTCTTGTCCCCTCAGTATTGGGGTGCAGTGGGTGCCTTGCTGTCCCTCCTCTCTGGGCTGGGGGTGGTGTGGGGGAACAATGGGACACTATTCCCTCTCCTAAGGCAGCAGTTGAGGCTCTTTGAGCATCTGCCCTCCCTGATAGCACCTGACACCCTCCTGGCTGTCCCCTGGCACACAGTGACAGCTGGGCAAGAAGCTGGGCCTTAATTGGGGCTGATCCTTCCTGGACCTCAACCCACCTGGGAGATGGAGATGGAGAGGGGTGAGGTGGGTCCTACATCCCTTCCCCAGTGCCCTTGGTCTCCTTTGGGTGGCTGTAGTGCCAAGGAGAGGGTGTCCCCTTTCCTCTGTAGCCCCTGTGCAGGTAGACAGGAAATAATGGGAAGGATAATGTTGCCTTGGAGGACAGATGCTGCTGCCTGCCTGGTCCTGCCCAGCTGCCCCACTGGCTCTCTGCTCTGGGCATGGAGCTGGAAGGGATCCCACCACCCAAATCCCATCCATCCCAGGGAGGACACAGAGACATTTGTGCCTGTTCCTTGGCTGGTGGGCAGGGAGGGAGCTTCAGCCTCCCCCTCCCCAGCCTCATCCAGCAGCCTAACCATCCATCAGCAGCTGCCTGCCTGTGCCTTAAATCCTCCTCACCCTCCAGCCGAAGGGACAAGGAACAGCCCCTCTCTGCGTGACCCNCCTCCTCTCTGGGCTGGGGGTGGTGTGGGGGAACAATGGGACACTATTCCCTCTCCTAAGGCAGCAGTTGAGGCTCTTTGAGCATCTGCCCTCCCCGATAGCACCTGACACCCTCCTGGCTGTCCCCTGGCACGCAGTGACAGCTGGACAACAAGCTGGACCTTAATTGGGGCTGATCCCTCCTGGACCTCAACCCACCTAGGAGATGGAGATGGAGATGGAGAGGGGAGAGGTGGGTCCTACATCCCTTCCCCAGTGCCCTTGGTCTCCTTTGGGTGGCTGTAGTGCCAAGGAGAGGGTTTCCCCTGGGTGCCACTGTGTCTCCTCTCCTCTATAGCCCCTGTGCAGGTGGACGGGAAAGACTGGGAAGGATAATGTCACCTTGGAGGACAGATGCTGCTGCCTGCCCGGTCCTGCCCAGCTGCCCCACTGGCTCTCTGCTCCGGGCATGGAGCTGGAAGGGATCCCACCACCTAAATCCCATCCATCCCAGGGAGGACACAGAGACATTTGTGCCTGTTCCTTGGCTGGTGGGCAGGGAGGGAGCTTCAGCCTCCCCCTACCCAGCCTCATCCAGCAGCCTAACCATCCATCAGCAGCTGCCTGCCTGTGCCTTAAATCCTCCTCACCCTCCAGCCGAAGGGACAAGGAACAGCCCCTCTCTGCGTGACCCCTCCCCAGTGAAATTGTCCCTGCAGAGGGTTTTGGGCTTGCTGTTTGCCGAGGGATGTCCTTGTCACCGTGCTGCCTGCGCCAGCAGGAGCACCCCTGCCCACCCCAATTCCCTCCACAGGGTGTTGGGTCTGGGTCACTGGTGGGTCCGCAGCCACTCTAACCCCCCATGAGCGTCTGCCTTCACCGGTGTCTCTCTCATCCTAGTTCCCTTACGCTGCTCCACCTCCTCAGGAACCCGTGAAGACCCTCAGGAGCTTAATCAATATCCGCAAGGACACCCTGCGCCTCGTCAAGTGAGTCCGGGCACCCCACGGCCTCGAGCCACGGGGAGGGAAGGGTCTGGTTGGGTGCTCCCAGGGGATGGTGTGCACGGGGCTGCTCTCCTTTCAGCACGGGCAGATAGAAGGGATGAGCCTGTCTCTCCAAATGTGCCCTTCCCCTCCCGGTTCCCGCATACCAGCACAGGCACTGCCGCAGGATTAAAAGAGCTTAGTGCTGCCTTTGAAGTGCTTTGCTGCTTCTTCCTCCCCCACCTTCCAAAGGCTTTGCTGGAGGGAGGCTGGGGATTGCGGCAGGGCTGTGAGATTCGGGATTAGGCTGAAATCTGTCTGCGGCACTTCCCAGCCTGCAGGCTTGACCTTGGGCGTGCTGGGCCCTCCTGCTGTGCCTCAGTTTCCCCTGAGGGAGGGCAGCAGCCCCTTCTTGGGGCCATCAGTGCTGAGGGGGCCAGTCCTGGAGCACCCCGAGCCGTTCCTGAGGGGTGCCCATCTCCTGGACCCTCTGTGCTCCCCAGGTGCTCGGAGGAGGTGAAGACCCCCGGGGAAGAAGTCAGCAAAGCCAAGGTGCACTACAACGTGGAGTTCACCTTCGACACAGACACCCGCGTGGCCATCACCATCTACTACCAGGCAATCGAGGAGTTTCACAATGGGGTGGCCAGGTGAGGAGCCACCAGCCTGGCCCATGTTCCCCTCTAGCCTGGCCTGTGTCCCCCCAAGCCCAGTGTGTGCCCCTGGCTGCTGGACCTGGAGCCTCTCCCTCCTGGAGCATCTCTCCTCTTCAGGGCACGAGACAGCTGCTGGTGGTGCTGAGGATGGAGGGGGCTCCTTATCTCCCCCCCAGGTGCCACCACCAGGTCCCTGCCAGCTCCTGCCACTTTCTTCCCCATCCCATCCTACTCCCTCTTTTTACCTTCAGGTCAGAAAGGAGGCCAGGAGAAATCATTGTCCCTCCCAGTCCTCTCCAGGTTGCATCCCCTCCTGTGCTGTGTTGGCTACCCTGTGTTTATTTTAGCCCTGAGGATTATTTTAGCCCATTTTAGGACTTCTTACCTCAGCCCCAAGAAGCATCTGGGAGGGGAGGGGAGGAGTGACCTCCCCCCTACTCCCATCTTCCTGATGTCTCCATGATCTGGGGGGACCAGGGGGAGTGTGGGGACAGCTGTGGTGCCCTGACTCTGTCCTCTCTCCATGGGACAGCTACATCCCCAGGGACAACAGCCTGCAGTCGGAGACAGTGCACTACAAGCGGGGGGTGTGCCAGCAGTTCTGTGTGCCCTCCCACACCATCGACCCCTCTGAGTGGAGCGAGGAGGAGGTGGGTTCCCCCAGCCCCAGCATCCACTGTGGGCCTGATTATGGTGATGAACAAGCAGTGACAGAGGCTTCATCCCACCTCCATCTCACTGATCCTCTTCTCCCATCTCTCTCCAGCTGGGCTTCGACCTGGACCGGGAGGTGTATCCCATGGTGGTGCAGGCAGTGGTGGATGAAGGAGAGGGTGAGAAGGGGGTTCCTTGTTGGGATGGGCTTTCCCAGTTGCTGGCATTGTGATGCCACCTGGGCAGAGCCTCCTGCTTTTCCTTGCTGCCACTGTGGCTCTGCCTGTCCCCTGAGCCCTGCCTGTCCCTTTGTGTCTTGCAGAGCACATCGGGCACTGCCATGTGCTGCTGGCCACCTTTGAGAAGGTAAGTGCCAAGCTGGGGCCATCCTCCCCCTCCTTCCCCCCTCACCCACCAGGTGTGAGAGCCTGGAGAATCCCTGAGGGGCTTGGGATGGTGCTGCTGGGCAGGGGCTATTTTGGGGCTGCTCCTCAAATTCTGGCACTATTCCCTCATTTTAAACACCCACTATAGAGGCATTTGGGCTCAACTCCATCTTCCTTCCTCCAACGTCTCCAGCTTTGCAATGCCCATGACATCCCACAGCTACCTGGTTCTGGGGTGTCAGGAAAAGCCAGAATTCCTGCCAAATGGACTGGCTGGGAGCAGTGGCAGCTGCAGGGTGGGTGGATGCTCCAGCACAACAGTCCATGGGTGCCCACCCATGTGTTCTCTCCTCCTTCCAGCACAGTGATGGCACCTTCTGTGTGAAACCCCTCAAGCAGAAGCAAGTGGTGAGTGTTCAGAAGTCCCCAAGGCAGCGGAGGTGCCCTGCACACTCTGCAAGGAGGTGTTTTAGGGAGCCCTAAACCCTGAGGTGGGCAGCAGCCTGCCCTTACCCTGCCCCTGCCTCCCGGGGAGGTTTTTGGTTACAATTCTGAGTGTGTCAATGCAAAGAGAATCGATGCATGTCTCTGCTCCTCACCCTTCCCCATGGGATTGCAGGTGGATGGTGTGAGCTACCTCCTGCAGGAGATCTACGGCATTGAGAACAAGTACAACACACAGGATTCCAAGGTATGTCCCTGCATCCCCCTGCCTGCATCCTGTGGGTCTTCCCTCATACCCTCTTCCCCTCCTTTAGCACAGGTCCAGTCCCTAAAACATGCTCAGGGCAAGAGTTGGCAGCACAGCACAGAGCTGCTGGTGTTTGGGGACGCTTTGTGTTGGCATCCAAGCTGCTGGAGGCAGAAAGCTCAAGGATCGAGCTTTTCCCCCCAAACTTTGTGGTGTGGGAAGGTGGTGGCTGGATCTTGCTGGCTTGGACAGGGAGTGTGGGGCTCAAGGCATGGGATGGGCCTCACGCTCTGCTCTATATGTGTAAAAGTTGGGGTGAAGGTTGTATCCTCCTATGGGGTTCCTTTTGCCCCATCTCCCAGCCTCCAGCAGGGGAGGAATAAGGTCCAGGGGTGTATTTCAAGAGCAGGCAGCCCTTGGACACAGGCAGGACCTCACCTCTGAGCACCCAGGCAGTATTTCAGAGCACCCCACCCTCGTGCCATGTGGGCTGGGGACCCTGAGGGCCCTGAGCAGTTCCCATCCTCCCCTCGGGGCAGGTGGCCGAGGACGAGGTGAGCGATAACAGCGCCGAGTGCGTCGTCTGCCTGTCGGACGTGCGTGACACCCTCATCCTGCCCTGCCGGCACCTCTGCCTCTGCAACACCTGCGCCGACACCCTGCGCTACCAGGCCAACAACTGCCCCATCTGCAGGCTGCGTAAGGGCCGGGGGCTGCTGCCTTGGGTGGGATGGCTGGCATCTCTGGGGACGGGCTGGCATCTCTGGGGACGGGCTGGCATCTCTGGGGAGGGCTGGCATCGTCTGGGGATGGCGCTGCATCTTTGGGGATGGGCTGGCATCTCTGGGGACAGACTGGCATCTCTAGGGATGGGCTGGTATCTCTGGGCATGGGCTGGCATCTCTGGGGATGGGCTGGCATCTCCCATCCTTCGTTCTGCAGTCCCTCCAGCCCCATGTGTGGTGACGCCGTGCAGACTGGGGATGCCCCTCTTGGGAAACGGGGTGGCATTTTTTTGAGGGGCCTCCTCTCAGCACCCGGTTTTCACCCCACCCTTCTCCCCTGCTGCCGCAGCTTTCCGAGCCCTGCTTCAAATCCGAGCCATGAGGAAGAAGCTGGGTCCCCTCTCGCCCACCGGCTTCAACCCCATCATCGCCTCACAGACCTCAGACTCCGAGGAGCACTCGGTCAGTGCCTGGCTGAATGCAGGACCCCCACCCCTTCCACCCTGCTGAGATCAGGATGGGAATGTCTGGGGATCCATGTGCTTTCCAGGGAAAAGGCTTACTTGTTTAATGCAAATTGACCAAAATGCAGGGTTGGTATTGCATAAAGAATGGGCATTTGGCTGGGTGTCTGTTCTTTGGGTTTATCTTCTCCCTGGGACATCTTCATCCTGCTGGGAGCAAGGGAATGCAGAGAAATGGGTCAGGGAGGATCCTCACCCTGTCTCTTCCCTCTCCTCAGTCCTCAGAGAACATTCCCCCTGGCTATGAGGTGGTGTCACTGCTGGAGGCCCTCAACGGGCCACTGACACCCTCGCCGGCTGCTCTGCCACTGCGGGCCCTGGGGGACCCCCCGGGCGTGGGGACCCTCCCCTCCTATGGCAGTGACGGCCCCCTACCTGCCCTGAGGGCCCTCTCGCCCCTCCAGCGCCTGCCCGACTGCGGCCCCCCGGGGCTCAAGCTGAAGAAGAGCATCTCCAAGTGAGTACCAGGGTGGGCACAGGGGGCTGGGAGGGCTCAGGGGGTCTGTGGGCAGGGGTGAAGCCCTCTGCTTTGCCCTCTCTGGCCAGGTCCATCTCGCAGAACTCCTCCATCCTGCCTGAAGAGGAGGACGAGAAGTCGTGCACTGAGTCGGAGCCGAGGGTCTCCAGGAGGAGATCCCCGGCCCGGTGCGAGGAGGTGAGTGCCGGTGGTGAGTTGAGGCACTGGAGGGGCAGCTGGTTTGGGGGCTTGGGACCAGAGGGTGTGGCTGTGGTTTGCCCCTCCTGGCTCTTCCTCCATCCGTAAGGATGCCTTGGTGAGGCAGTTAATCCAAGCTGAATATCTCCTATCCCACTCTTCCCATGGGCTCCTCTTCCAGGAATGTGGTGTGACACCAGAGAGTGAAAACTTCACCCTGTCATCATCAGGAGCCATTGACCAGTCCTCATGCACTGGGACACCCCTCTCCTCCACCATCTCGTCCCCAGAAGGTACAGGTGGGCCTTCCCTCAGAAGTGGGGCACGGGGGTGCTGGCAAGGCAGGAGAGTGGCATCGTGGTCTTGGGACCCTCCCACTGCAGGGGGATGCAGAGTGGGTTGCCATGGCCCTTCCCACCCTGCCACGGGCATTGCATGGAGCCCCAGGGTGTCACCTCTGCTTTGTCACTCGTAGACCTGGAGATGGGGCTGATGGAGACACCAATCATGTCTGCTTTGTTATCCCATAGAAATGGGGGGCTGTGAGGCCCAGGACCCACTGCTGGCAGCTTTGCACCTATCCCATCTCCATGGCATGCAGCCAGTCCTTCCTCCTCGTTAGCCCCCTCTTTAATTAGCGGGTGCTGTGCCGTGATTTGCACTGATGGGCTGGGAGGGTCCAGCGGCCCCGCTCAGCCCCTGCTCTCCCCCAGAGCCCGTCAGCAGCAGCCTGGCTCAGTCCGTCATGTCCATGGCCTCCTCCCAGAGCCAGCACTCCCAGCTCAGCACAGACACTGTGTCCTCCATGTCTGGCTCCTACGTTGCTCCTGGCACAGAGGAGGAAGAGGAGGAGGAGGAGGAGGGGGACATGCTCCCCTCACCTGCGGCCGCAAGCGTCACAGCCTCTGATGGAGAGGTAGGGGCTGAGGGGTTGTTGATGGTGCCCATCATCCCCAGGTTGGAGAGCTTTCCCATGGGATGTAACTTCTCCTCCAAACCCACTGGCACCAGACTTTTTTTTTGTTTTTCCTTCCATCTTTCCCCCCTTCTTCCCGCAGTCAACGCCTGTGGAATCCCCAGATGTGAACTTTGTCAGCATCTCTGCCGAGGAGCTCGATGCTGAGGTAACTGTAACTACCCCATCAGGGACTGGGAGCTGTGGTGACTCCCAGTGTGGAGGGGGGATCCCAGCTGCATCCGTTTCTGGGTGCCCACTGAGGGGGAAGCTGGGCAGCTCGCACCACATTCCCCTGGGGCTGGGATGAGGAAGGAGCTACTGACACATCCATGTCCCTGCGGGCTGCCCTGGGGATGGATGGGGCAGTGGGGCTGTCCCTTGGCCATGATCATCCTCCTGGTCCATGGAACCCCTGGGGCTGGGGACATTCCCCCAGGGGCACCTGGGAGCAGCCCCTGGCTAACGCTGCCTCTCGCCTGTGCTGCAGGGCAACGATGTGCTGGAGGATGAGGACGCCTCTCCCACGCAGGAAGACGGTAAAAGGCCCCGGCTTGTTGTTGTCCCTTCACATTCAGGTCGCTGTCACCAGTGGGCAGCCATGAGTGGCAGGTGCTGTGTTGTTCCCAGCTCCCCTCCCTGCCATCAGGGACAGCCCTGGGTGACTCCACAGGCACCAGAGGCGGGAAACATCAATCACAACAGGGCCACCCATGGGTGGGTTGAACACCAGTGGGTGGGGGAGCCAGGTGGCTATGGGGGACCCCAGTGAGCTCAGTGCAGGACATGGAGCAGGTGATGGTTGATGTGCAGGATCCAGTGGTTTTTCCAACGAGCCAAGTGAGAAAGAGGCTTCTCTGTGTTTTCCCCCTCAACAAGGTTTTCCTTGCATCTCTGAAAGCCTCTCCTATAGGGATTAATGTCTGGGCTGATTCCCATAGGAAAGAGGCTGCAAAGCTGTTCCCCTTGGGATGCTTTCCTCACGTTTTTTGGCCTGTCCTCAGTATGATTTCACAAGTCAACACATGCACATTAAGGCCTCCTCTTGCCTCCTCCCTTGAGCTCAAATAGCCAAGGAAAGAGGTGCCATCAGCCACCGACTGCCCTGGATTGCTTTTGGGCAATAAGGAGGCCCATAGTGTGCCCCTTTGCATATTTGCAAGTTTCTTGTTAGCAAAAATATGCCAAAACTGTTTCCCCATCCAACCCGGACACTGAGCCAAGCTGGAAAGCAGGAACACCCATCCCCAAAATGTGGCCTCTGCCCTGCAGAGAGGCTCCTGCTGATGGGGAGACTCAAATATGGCAAGTAGGGACAACTAGGGGCTGTGGTGGATGTCCACAGACATCCCAACAACTCTGGGAGCAGGATGGCCTTTCTCCTTAGGACACGGTCCTGCTCCCATTCTCAGCGGGGCTTATTTGGGAACATCCCTCCTGAGGTTCAATCGCCTGCATCTAATGGATGCAGGCAAGGAACCGGGGGCTGATCTCTCGTACAGGGGATGCTAAGAAGCAGAGTTAACCTCCCTCAGCCCCAAAAGCCTCCATTTCCCTGCAAAAGCTTGGCTACGGCTTCTTTTGCCCCACGCATCCAGCTGCTGCCTCCTCCTGGCACCCACGCGGCTCTCACACGCACCGATGGTGCCGGAGAGGCTCTGGCAGGAGGTGATGGATGCCACCATGGCCTGGCTCTACCGACCAGGGACCGCTCAGCTGGGTAGGGGGGAAGGTTTGGCTGAACCCTGGGCAGTTCACGCGTGTGCCCATCGCCGCATCGTCGCTGTCCCGCTGCCCTCCCGTGCGAGGAAGGGAGCAGCTCGGGCTGTGCCCAGGAGTTATTGTCCACTCTTCACCCGCTCCGACCTGGATGCATTGTTTTTATCTATTTTTTTTTACTTTTGAAAGAGGCTGGGGAGGGGAGAGGAAAAGCCCCAGAAACCCCACCCCCCCAGTGCTAAAAGGCAGCGTGGAGCCCCAGCCCCGTTAACTGCCTTAACTCCCTTCCAGGCCCGAGGACAGGCGCTTTCCTCGGTCTGAGGTGTGACAATAACAATGACATGGGCATCGCACACGTGAAAGCGCTGGACAATAAACTGTGCTCTGAGGCCTGCTTACCTGGTGAGTGGCCGTCTGCTGAACATGAACTTGGGGTGGGGGGGGACAGTCCCACTCTTCCCTGCATCCCCCCAGCCCTTTGCGTCCATCCCTCCTCTCCCATCACCGTCATTCCCGCCATCCCCACCAGGTCGTCCTCAGTGCACCCCACCACCCACCTCACTGCAGGGCTGAGCACCAGGCACGTCACCACCCATAGGTCAGAGTGGCCTGTCCCTGCTGGAATGTCCCCAGGGGGCTGCAGACCTGCTTTGATGGGATGCTCTGTCCCTTGGCCAGGGGGCTGCTGGCACCCCAGAGGGCACTTGGGAAGGTGGCACAACTGTAGCCTGGTCCAGGCTCGTGGTGGGAGCAGCAGTATTTGCATTGGGATGTGATCCACAACCAGTCCAGCTTTACAGCAGGAGCTGCCTGCCTCTTCCTCCTCTTCCTCCAAGGCCAGGGAGATGGGGCATGTCAGATCGGGTCATCTTTCTACAGAATCCCACATTCATCCCTCTTTCCCATTTCTTCACGCTTTCTCTCCCACCCTCCTTCCAGTTCTTTTTCCTCCCTCCCTCTCTCCATCTCTTTTTTTCTCTTCTTCCTTCCCCCCAGGCTCCTCCGTCCGTGTGAAAGTTCATGTTCGCTCTGTGCCAACACGGTTTTCTCCACCCATGCTTGTGTCCCCTCCCTGCCCAGAGTTGCACAAAGGTGACAAATGTATTGGTGACCCCTGGTCCCTGCACAGACCAAAGGGAGCAGTGGGCTGGGGACCCTTCCTCAGCCTGTGTGTGGAGAAATGGGGCAAAAAACTAAGACAAAGCCCTCCGAGGGGTCTCCATCAATACATTTGTGGACAAGCTGAAAGCAACTCTGCCCTTGCCTTGCCCCTTTGCCTAACTTTGTGGCAGGTCTGAGACCTGCAGCAGGTGCTGGAGAGCCGAGAGGGTGGGTGAAACCCACTGGAGGGAAGGGAAATCCTTTTTTCCCTGCTACTCCTTTGGGAAAGCCTCCTCTCCTGCTGCTTTGCCTGCTCCTGGTGGTTTCTGTGCCGGAGAAACACAGCTGAGGCTCTTGGGGAGGAACAGGCTCCTGCCACAAAAGTCCTGTGTCCCCTCCATCACCCTCTGGAAGCAGCTGCCTGAGCCCTGCCCAGGAGGGCTGGGGAGGGAGCTGGGGGGGATATCTCAGCAGCACCTCTGCCTTGCTGGGGAGCCTGGCAAAGCATCCCTTGGCTGTGGGACCAGCCAAAGCCATCCTTGACTGCATCCCCCTTGGTTGTGCCGGGGGGAGGATGAGGAAGGGGGAGCTTTGCAGCCCAGACGGCTCCAGCACAGGGTCAGATTCTTGCTCTGCTGTGAGGAGTGCACTGGCCGTGTCCCCAGCCTGGGCTGGGGTGCAGGATCTGGCCCCTGGGACGAGCCCAGCCAAGGATGGACTCTCCATCCTTTGGCCACCACGCCAGTCCCTGTGTCCAGCGGCTGTGCTGCTTGGAGCCCTCAGCACGGAGCTGCCCTGCTGCCAGCATGAGGGGTGAGCCAGCCTTGGCATTTGCGGGGAAAAGCAGGGAATTGCTACTCGTGCCAGGACCAGGGGCAGAGGAGGTGCAGAGCAGGAGCTTTGGGGCTGCCCCTGGTCGCCTGAGGATGGCAGAGGGACCAGTGGGAAGAACACCAGTGATGTTCTCCATCCCTTTACACTCACTGTAGGACATGATGTGTTTTTTCCACATCGTGATGGACAGTGATTAATGTTTTACAACTTTCCTTTTTCAGATGTACCAGTTTGTGTAGATCAGGATGTTCCAACAGTTTTTAACCAGGGTAATGTCCATCCCAGGAGTGGTTGGAGGGAAAGTGTCGTGTAACACGTTGTTGTTGCGTATGCTCTGGTACAGTTTTTGGTAGAGAATAGTTGAAGTCACAGCCTGCTCTATAGGTAAAGTTACAAGTGTGTAGAATCGAGTGGTTACAAAGCTGTGTCTTTGTCACCCACTGTTTAATTATCACAGGGGGTTCTTAGACATGCACACCCTTGTTCTATGGATACTAGGATGTGTTCAGGATCAGTGTCAGGAGACATTTCAAAATGACAGACACAGCTCTGTGTCCAAACAGGCATCTTGGGCTTTCTAAGTATTACTTTCACATATAAACCCCTGTCATTGTCTCACCACACAACCATCTACATCAATGATTTGCCGTGTGTGTATGATTGTTTTTAAAAGCCTGTGCTTGATGTTCTGGTGGATCTGGTTCCCTTAGGAGCACAACAATGGGGTGTATGGTATAGGCTGAAGCATTGCATATTGCTAAGACAAAAGCTGTGGCCTTATTAGCAATGAGGAGGTAAGAAAATCTGATTAAAGACCACCAGGATTGAAATTCCCTTTCAAATGCAGTGGCATTATCCAAAATTACCTTTGGAATTTCACTTAAATTCAAAATAAAAGTCCATTTTTCCCTTCTCTGATTATCACAGCACTGATAGAGTGTAACCATAACTGAGCTGGCATACAGCTGACTGCTGAAGGCACTTTGCTTTGAGCAATTCCCAGAGCATCAGTCAGTTGGTTGTTAGCATTTTGGTATTTTTCTGAGACAGAAAAGATAGCTGAATGTGACACTGTGTGTTTCAGAGAGAGGGTTAGGAAGACCCTAAGGTCTGTAGTGCTCAAATTATTAATGGTGGTACCCAATTTATTAGCCAGAGTTTCCAGATCAATATTGTTCAATATCCCTCTTCCAGTTCCCAATATACTGGTTAGATGTGAGAGGTGATGACCTCTGGTTTACTGAGGAAAACCATCCAGTAGAGGAGGCACCTGTAAAAGGTGAACATTTTGGTCTGATAGTAGAAACATTGGTCTGCATGGACATTTCTGCTTTCTTTAAGGAACAAGGAGAAACAATGTTTGTTGTCCAGCCAGTTTGACCTCATATGGTCTGACCAGTGAAACATTTGGGGCAATTTTATAGGTTTTGGAGTAGTTTGGGGGGCAATCATGGAGAGTGTGCTTAAACCCTCTAGGACACAGTCAGATTCTATACCATAAGGAGATAAGACCAGTTTTGTATCTTTCAGTTTACAATCCTTTAGGTTCACAGTGAGACAGACTGGGGGTGTTCCATATCTTGTGGTTTTGTTTTGGCTGTATAGTTCATAGAATTTCTAAGGACTTGTACCCAGTGCATGACAACCCCATTCACTGATTTTAGGGGACCTTTGGAGACAGTTACACACTGGCCCTTGAGATCCTTGGTGTTTGAGAGGCCACATCTAGGAGAGCCTCCAAGCCAGTGGAATGATGTTGAGATTTGATAATTATATTTTTGCCTTCTCTGTAATGGAGATGTGGTTCCTCAAAGGTGTTGTGAAATCTCTGCAGATTTCAATCTGGTGGGAAAAGGCTTTGGGAGGAGGCGAAAGGCCACATCCCAGGGATTTTAGGACACAAGGTTTAACTAAAACATACAGATCTGTGTCCTGAGTGGATCCTGCAGAGCTGTGGGGTGTGTAGGGAGTTACAGAGGCTGTCCACAGGATTCAGAGCATCCTTTGGCTGTGGCCACCGTCGGGGGACAGGGTGGCAAAAACAGCTTTGGAAAGAGAAACTGGGGGAAGGCTCCTGCTGAAAAGGTTGGCACCAAGGTGGGAGGGCTGGGGAGCTGCTGCAGAAGACCTGAAATCCCCTGAGGGCTTTTGCTGATTTAAAGCCACAGATGCTCTGAGTGATCCCACAACAGGCCAAGGGAGCTGGTTGGGTTTCACTGTGATGGGATTTAGAGGCTGGTCTGCCCAGGACAGGTTTGCTGGCTGCTGATGGCAGGGGAGACCCCTCCTGCAGCCCAAGAGGTGGGCATGGGGCTGATACCCTGCTTCAGGGCCAGACCCTGTCCTGCTGCCCCAGCCCTGCTCCTCAACAGCCTCCCAAGGGTGCACTGAGCTGAGCTGGGTCTCTGCACTGAAGCTCTGCAGTGACTTAGGCAATATCAAGCTCTTAATGGGATTTCAGTGTGCATGTACATGTGGTCCTGTTTAATTATCCATTCCCTCCGGGATCTGCAGACTTAACATGCCTCGCTCTCCAGCCTGAGCTCGCCATGAAAAGCCAGTCGAAATGGTAGCTGTCACCTCCCATAAATCAGCAGGCAGCAGGATTTTGTTGCTCCCCCTCTGGGAAAGCCTCAGCCCTTGGCCTTAACATGCCCTCACATGGTCCCCCTGGCTCAGAGCTGCTCTGGGCACGGGGTTTAACCTTGCTGGTGGGTGCAGCCCCCTGCTTTAGGGGCGCACCCGCTTCCTAAGCCCCTGATTGTTTGTGGTGGGACACAAGCCTCTGCCCTCACCCTGTCCCAACTGGAGGGTGCTGCCTGAACTGGAGGGAGCCTGCAGCCGGAGAGGAGTCATGCAGGGACCCTGCTGCCCCGCACCATAAGCATGCCCACCCCTCAGTTCTTCTTGGCACGAAACCCCAGGAGGCCCCACGCATGAGGGACCCCTCACTCTGTGCCCGGTGGGCAGCTCCTGCCTCGTTCGCAGGCGGTGAGACCCCAGTCCCACCCGGGCCCACGTTTGGCTCTCTCGCTGGCATGTCCCCGCGCCGCTGCCGCCTCTCCCGCCGTTCCAAAACATGTGCCTTCTGGTCTCTCCTGCCACGCAGCCGCCGTGCCGGACTCCTGCCCCATTAACATTGAGGAATAGGTATGAGACCCCCAGAGCCTGCGCCCGCCTCGCGCCCCATCACCCTGGGGGGGGTTGGCGCTGGGTTGGCGCCCCTTGTTCCGGCATTGCTGGCAACCCCCTGACTGTCCAGGCCACGGTGACATCCCTTTGTGCCCAACCTGCAGCCCCACAGGGCGTCTGCATGTGCCCTCTGGCTGGGCAGGGCAGGCAGAGGCAGCCCCCTTCGTTTGGGTTATTCAAACCCAGCCACGGTCACGCTGTGATTTCTGTTTGGCCCTCGGCATTCCCGAGAAACCGGGGGTTCAAGGGGCCCCCCCAGCCTGGAGAGGTAAGTGCAGGCACTGGCCAGCCCTCACTGCAGCCAAAAGCCTGAGGGGATCTGGGGAGGTGGGTGTTACTTGGGAGACTAAACCACATGCCCCGTGGAAAGATGAGCTGAGAGCACCGGTGGGTTTTGGGAGCCCCTGACCCCCCGTTTTCTCCCCCCAGGCCCAGAGGCCGCCAACAACAACGTGCGGCTGCAGCAGACGCCCCGGCCCCGCCGCCCCCCCGGCACCCGAGACCTGGAGCAGGCAGCGACCGCCCTGCCCGTGTGAGGGCTCAGCCTGGGCGGGGGCACGGACCCCCCTGCCCACCCAGAGGGACCCTGGTGTCCGGGTGCCAAGGGCGTCACCACCTCCACCCCTCGGCTGCACCAGGACTGACTTTCAAAAGAAAAGACGGTAACCTCGACTTTTCCTTGGGGGCTAAAGCCATGTCACTTTGGAGCCCCTCAGTAGCACCTTCCCGTTCTCCAGCCCTGACAGGGGTGGGTCACCTCCTGCCCCTGGCCATCTCACACCCCCCGGCTCCTCTCCTCCAGCATGTGGAGCAGATGGGACAGGGTCAGCCCACAAAAGGGGTCCTGAGGTGTGGATGGATGGAGGTGATGGGAGGATGGTGCTCAGGGGTCTGGGTTCAGGATGAGTGGTGGCATTGGTATCCTCAGTGCATGAGTTGGTGACCTTTGTGGAGGGCTGCCCCCCCCCCAAGTTTGCTGGCCCATGCCCCTGCCATGGCGTGGGCTGTCCCCATACCATGGGATGTCCCCATTAATGCACTGACAGTGATGGTGCCCCCCAGCTCCCCTTCCCTCCACCCTCCTCCTGAGCAGCAGGGCCTTGAGGTTGCTTTTCCCCAGGAGATGGAGCAGGGTGACAGGAGTGTCAGGGCACCTGGTACCACCCCCAGCATGGTCACCAGCCCCTGGGACATTGCTAACTTACCCTCACTGTCTTCCGCCCTGCTGTGAGTTCAGGGCTCAGGGCTGTGCCCTCTCTCTGGAACAAGTGCCAGAAGTGTCACCCCCGTCCCACCCGTCCTGCCCTTCCCATCGCACTTTGTAGCACGGGGTGGATGAGGATGCGGGAGCTGCCCCCCCATCCCTCCATCCCCATCCCTCTGGCCAGGGTTGGGCCAGCAGCATAAGTGGATTTTGCTCCAGGGGAGAGGCACACAGGGACAGCAAAGGGATAAGGATGAAGCCACAGACCTCGGGGACCTGATAGGGCTGTTGGCAGAGGCCAGACTTCGCTCCAGAGAGCACCAGGGACAGTCAGAAGCCACTCTGAGGGGCATCAGACCCAATCTCCCGAGCTCTGGATCTGTTTGGGGCAGCCCAGGGTAGGAGGCTGAGCCTCCCTTTTCCTCACTTGGTCTTGTTGTGCAGGTGTGATAGCAAAGGCCACCTCCTCTCTGCAGGAGGATGCTGCAGTTCAGAGCCACCTTAGGACAGAGATGCTCGTCCACAGAAAGCAATATCCCTTTTGGGAGTGCGTGGGAAGCAGGTCCCCGCTGCCAATCCCCACATCAGACCGTGGGCTGTGCTGGTGGCTGTGGCTCCTAAAGGGGAAAGAAGCCCTTTTGGGGGCTGGGAGGTGTTTTCTCTGCCTGGCTCACAGCCAGGGAACTGCTCACTCCATGGCCCGGGTGTGGGTCCTGCCAGAGGTGGGTTTGGAGTCAGCCATCCTGCTGTTCCCTCCTCCGGGCTGGCACTCTGTCATATCTCCTGGAAGCTCAACAGCTCCCAGATTCCTCCCTGGGAACTCAGGGCTGGGCACTTGACGTGAAGTGACATCTCCAAAATGCCATCCTGTGGGATGTGGGACGGGAGCTGCAAACAGCAGGGAGGGCTCCAGTGGTGGGATGAGCCCATTTGGGGACAGGCTGCATCCCCCTGTGGGGACCTGGGTTTGGGTGTCCCAGCCCCAAGGAGCCACCATCATTGTTCTGGGCACAAGGAGAGCTTTGGGGGTTCACCATCGTGCTGAGCTGGGAAAACCAGGGAGGCCACGTCTTCCATAACCTTCCAGCATGGGCAGGGGCAGGAAAATCAGGCTGATGCTCCAGGAGTGGCTCATCTACCAAAGCCCAGCCTTCCTCATGGTTTCCAAGGGGACAAGGAGAGCTGGCCTGGCACTCTGGCACAGGGCTGTGATGGTGCTTGTGGCTGCCAGCAGGTCAGGGCAGAGCAAGCAGGTTCTGGGACTGACTGGGAGGGTTTTCTGGCTGCTCCGAGCTGTGTGTCCCCAAGGCTGCAGGAGTGGCCAAACAAGCTCATTGGGTGGCTGCAGACCCGGGTGGCTGTGGGTGGGCACTGCCCCTCACTGTGGGTGGGCACTGCCCCTCACTCCATGGCTGGCAGTGAGCCTGTGGTGATGGGGAGGAGCCAGGAGGATGCTGTGGCCCAGTAAAGTGCTGCTGCCTGGCTGTGAGCAAAGAATCCATCCTCTGGGTGGCACAGGAGAGACGGGATTTGGGCATGGGTGACACCCCAGAAGGGACAAGGGACAGGCAGGAGCTGCCAGCGCAGTGTGGGGTGAAAGGGAACAGCCCCTTGTCTCACGGGGCAGCCCCTTGTTCCAGCGATCCACCAGTCAGGGATTTAAGGAAGGAAACCAGATTGCTGCTTACGACTTTGCTTTGAGCATGTTTTGGGTTTTAAGAGTATGTTTAATAAAGGGTATCTTATGTCGACGAAGTGTCCGGAGTCATTTTGTGGTTTGCAGGCTGAGAGCAGTCGAGGTTTGCGGGGCTTGGTGGGTGGAAACCGTTTTTGGCTCGAAGTGTCCACCTACATGTCACCCAGGCACCTCCCCCATACCAGCCCAGCTGCTTCAAATGTCCTAAAACACTTCCCAAGGTTCCTTTGAACCTGCATTCCCAACCCATCCTAAATTTTGCCTCCTCTGAGCCCAGTATGGAGACAGGACAAATGCAAAAAACTCTGCAGGAAGAGTCTGACTTGGGGTAGAGGCACCTTCCTGGTGTGGGGTGTGGGTGGCTGCTGGCACTGCTGGGACAGATGAGGACACCCAGAGGGAACTTCTGGAGGAGAAGAGGAGCACTAAGAAGCTGAGAGCTCATGCAAGAGAAATCCCTCCAGTGCAGGGGAAGAAAACTTGTGCTGGGAGCCGAAGTCTTGAAGAAGAGGAGAGCTGTAAGAGGGGTTATAATCTGAGTTTAATAGGGGGGCTGATGATGGTGGGGAGGAGCAACATGCAGCTAAATCAGAATCAAAATCAGAATCAATCAGGTTGGAAAAGACCTCTGAGGTCATCGAGTCCAACCTGTGACCAAACAAGCTGCAGGGACAGGTTGCAGATGGTCATATCCTGCAAAGGGGTCTCTCCCTGGTCTCTGTTAAAGCCCTTGGGATGGCAGGGAGGATGGCCACGGTTTTCTTATAGAAGCCTATGGCTGTAATGTTTTGAATTAAATAAAGGCAGACTCCATCTTTTATTTTTGGGGTCTGCCAGGCCTCCTTCAGCTTCGCCCTCATCGCTGTGGGTGCATTGGGAGCCAGCACAGGAAGGAGGAAAAGGGCTGGGGTTGCCCCTGTGAGACAGGACACAGGTTTTCACAGAATCACAGAATGTTTTGGGTTAGAAGGACGTTAAAAACCATCTCCTTCCAACTCCCCCCTGCCCTGGGCAGGGACACCTTCAACTAGACCAGGTTGCTCCGAACCCCATCCAACCTGGCCTTGGGGATGGAGCAGCCACAGCTTCTCTGGACAACCTGTTCCAACACCCTCACAGTAGAGAATTTCTTACAATTATCTAATCTAAACCTACTCCCTTTCAGTTCGAAGCCATTCCCCCTTGTCCTATCACCAGGTGCCCTCGCAAAAAGTCCCCCTCCGTGTCCTCGTCGCTCCCCTCCAGGTACTGAAAACC